AAGAATTAGGATTTTAATTTTAAAGTATTGTAAAGCGCCATGGACAATTAGTGGAAAATGGCGCTATATAAATGTATATTTATTTATTTATTTTATTTCATAATTATGACATAGTAATCATTGGATATTATCCTTCAGTAGCATTTTCAAACAACAATACTGACAAAAATTCAAATGAAGCCTGAAACTACTGTGAAATTGATGTTAAAATCTTGAAGGATTGTAACGTCAATTTTAAAGTAGTATCAGGCCTCATTTGAACTTTTGTCAGTATTATATGACATAATCCTTACAAGCTGAGGTTTCTGTAAACTGAGGTTTGTTGACTGGCACAGCAACAGAGGGTCATTTCATACTAAAAAGAGAACATGAGATATTGGAAACATTGTGGTTAGATTGGAGACTGAGGCTCCTAACAAAATAAAATTTGATGAGAAGCATCATTTGATGTAGCACATGACTTGAGAAATACAATTACAAAGTCAACACATTGACTGAAATAATGGTCTCGTGCTGCTGGTCTGTTTCCTTCGGTATTATTTTATGAATTAATTAACAGATTTAGAAATCATATTTTCCCAAGTCTACACAGTACCACTTAGCACTCAATTAGTGTATTACCGAACAGACCAAACAATCATCACAATGGGTTTTTCAAAAATTCAACAGGGCAATTCCTTCCACATTTCCTCCTCACCAGCAAAATAAGCAGGCCAGAGAGAACATGTTTCTGTGGCTGGCAACAGATTCCAGCAATTTTCCAACAGCTACACTTTGATGGATTAATACTACCACTCTTAATCAATCGATGAGACCATATTTGTTTTCTACAAATGCCCAGCCATTGTTAAACCAGTAATGGTAATCCTTATGACTTAATAGGTTACCATAGCAACAGTGCAACCTGTAAGCAGCACCTGTAAGTTTAGCTGTAAGTGCTTATAGCTAAAAATACAAGCTCAGTGACCTCCATTTGCTATCAAATTGTGATAAGATGCAACTTGTTACCTTAACTTTTTGAAAATTTAAGGTTGCTCTGAACCTCCTCCACAGAATTCTTTTCAACTTTGCAAGATGTACAATCTTATCATGCTTATCACAATTCGACTATTAAAAATAGGGATCATCAAGCTTAAATTATAATTGTTTGGTTTGGTTCTGCTTTGTTTTTAGCGAGGCAAAATCATATACAAGTTGGCAGATCTTCTGATTGAATGCAAAGATCAGATCCTAGATGCCAACTCTAAAGATCTGGAAACTGCACGTTTTGAGGGGCGACTTTCAGCTCCCATGATGGCCAGATTACTTTTGACTCCATCTAAACTGGAAAACCTTGCACAGGGATTGAGGCAAATTGCTGATTCTTCGCACAATATCCTGGGTCGTGTGCTGAAACGAACCAAGATAAGTGATGGTTTAGAACTTAAACAAGAAACTGTTCCCATTGGAGTGCTACTAGTCATCTTTGAATCCCGTCCAGACGCTCTGGTTCAGGTACTACTTCTGCACTTATCAGTATACTAAGAAGGTTTCACTGTTATGTCTAAAAGTTCATGGGAATAAAAGTTTAGAGATGGATGTATATCTTTACCAAAGTGACAATGTTAGGATGAAATTCATGATTATAACAGGACAGACCCATTACAAAATTGACAAATGGCTTTTTCATTCACCATTTTACATTTACATCGACATTTCCAGACTGCAGCTAGGCTAGACTGATAAATTTGGGCTCTTACAAAAGTAGTGAAAATATTTCTGTAGAGCTGACATAAAGCTTATAGTTAAAAATGTAATGTAGCCCAATGCATAACACCATAATTAAATTCGTTTTCCATCAAACTTTCAAGCAATAGTTTTCACTTAGCAAAATACAGAGAAACACATACCTCATAGCCTTCAACATAAGTAAATAAAATCTACATAAATTTCAGAAACAGAGTTTCTAGAACTGAGCGCTATTACATTGGCAAAACTTTTGAAGGTTATACTTTCTTTGTGACTGATTGCGGCCACAAGTTTCAACATTTCCCTGTCAATGTACTTTTAAATTGTTTGGTACATTTTTTCTGTGCTTTCATTTTTAGTGCAGAATGCACTATTGGGATGGTTTTGGGGGCTGCTATCTGCTAATTCACAAAGGTAGTAAGCCACTAAGGCAATAATTAACTAAGGTAATAAGCCACTAATGGAATAAGCCACTAAGGCGCTAATTCACTAAGCCCTAAGCCACTAAGGCAATACTTCACTAAGGCACTAAGCCACTAAGCTACTTAGCCACTAAGCCACTAAGCCACTGATGAACTAAAGAATTAAGGTAATAAGTCATTAAGGCTCTACGCTGTAAACTTAAATTAATTAATTAATTTCGATTAATTAATTAGTCTAGAGCTAGAGGCAAGGAAGTGGTGGGGGTGGGAAAAGTACATATGTACTCTACGTAAAACATGTTCCATATACGCCAGTTGAGTGTGAACATCGCAAAACTATACATTTGTTTCAGGCAACCCCTTGCTCTCCTTGTGGTACTATTCTCTTTAGAACAAAACCATTTAAGGATAAAAATAAGCAAAAGAAGTTTTACACAACATTTCGATGACTCCATGTCATCATTTTCAAGTGAAGAGAGAATACAATTGATAACTTAATATATACCATGCGAGGTGATAAAACGTAAAGGTGGAAAGGTGTACAGGTAAATGGTGACAAATTTAAATAAATAGTTTTGCACATACAGAGTTTGATTGTGTTTAAGCATGGCCTCTTCCTTATGAATAGCATTTCATAAATCAGACAGTCCAGTTTTCTGTTACACTTCAAAATGGAAAAGTTGTTGGCAAGGTCGTGGATGGTTTCTAGATCGTGGTCGTTCTTTAAGTGCTTGCTGATTGCTGAATAACAGTGTTCGTCAATACGCTGAAATAAGTGTCGGCTGGTGTAGTTGACATACTCTGCATCACACAGATCACATTGATAATTATACAAAACGCATTGTTGGCTAATTATAGGTGCTTTGGGCTCACACATCTTGAGGTCTTCACATATTTTGCGACTTTTGAACACAGGTTTAAGAGTGTGAAAGCCTCGTCGTTAAATGGTACAAGAAATGGCTACTCAAGACCATGTTATATTGTGCGTACCACCCGTCGTCCACATGGGAGTCTTTCAAATCTGAATGTGATCATCACAAGATGACGTTTACTAACCTCAAGTACCCTGAACATCTCATCAATTCCACTATCTCTCACTTTGTCACCTCAGTGAGGTCTGAAAACCCTGAAAACCCTGTTCACCAAGTCAGCTGATGCAGTGAAAAGGCAATTATCAGATCTAAGCAGCAAAATCGATCACATTCTTCAACCTTTGTTTAAGGCCATGCTTAAACACACAATGAGACTTCATATGGGCAAAACTATTTATTTAAATTTGTCACCATTTACCTGTACACCTTTACACCTTTACGTTTTATCACCTGGCATGGTATATATTAAGTTATCAAATGAGTTTTATTCTCTCTTCACTTGAAAATGATGACATGGAGTCATCAAAATGTTGTGTAAAACTTCTTTCACTTATTTTTATCCTTAAATGTAGAACAAAACCAGTTTGCTTTAAACACATGTGCAGGTTAGTTAGCGTTTTTGTCTTCTATATATTAGGTGGAGGATCCATTGCATACGGGATCACACACAAGCGTTGAGTGCTTTTCCTTATGGTAGTACTCAACATGTAAGATGCATGGGTTCTAGCATCATTAGTGTTATACACTATGTTTCCACAGTTTTAGTGGAGAGTGCACTATTGGAGTGGTTTTGGGGGCTGCCATCTGCTAAGGCACTAAATTACTAAGTGGAAAGTGTGCTAAGGTGTAAACTTTAATGTTTGTTTAATTAGTTAATTTCAATTAATTAATTTGTGTTACAGCAAGAGGGTGGGGTGGGATGGGTTAGGTACCTGTGTGCACAACGTAAAATGCGTTACACTTACGTTATTTCGTGGACAATATCAAAGCTGTACATGTGTTTCAAAAACTCCCTTGCTCTCCTTGTGGTGCTATTCTCTTTAGAACAAATTAAAAGTAATTTGCTCGAAAGGCATGCGCAGATTAGGTATTGTTCATGTTGACTATACATTAGGTGGAAGATACATACAGGATCATACAAGAACATTGAGTGCTTTTCCTTGTGGTGGAACCCAGCATGTAAGATGCATGCATTCTAGAATCGTTAGGGGTATACAGCTGTTTTGACAAAGGTTGTCCAAAGAAAGCGTAAAAGCGTACGCGACAATGCCCAGGGGTAGTCTTTTTTTAAACATCCAATAAATTTCAATAAAAGCTCAGAACAATACCTTGACCATACAGTGAAGACTTGAGATGGCAGGCAATATGGATGAAAGAGTTTTTAGGACACGGCATTGACGAGGTAGCGGCTGCTTTGTACATGTTGCCAAAAACCATTCTTCGCTACCTATCAAAATGCCTGAATTCTGGTGAAGTGAAAGCAGAGACTTTGGGACAACCGTTAAATAGTTTTCTTATGCACCTGCACGTGGAGTTTGTAATGATGGAAGCGGTACTTGACCACCCGGAAAAAACCCTCTCAGAAATTGCACAGAATATCTTTGACATGCAGAGTATTTTTAGTGCAGAGTACACTATTGGGATGGTTATGGGAGCTGCCTGCCACTAAGGACTAAGGCGCTATGGCACTATGGTGCTATGGCACTAAGGTGTAAACTTTAATGTTTGTTTAATTAATTAGTTTCAATTAATTAATTAGTCTAGAGGCAACGAAGTAGTGGGGGTAGGGTGGGAAAGGTACATGTGTACTCTACGTAAAACACATTTCATCGCCGTCACT